GAGTTTCAGATCTGATTGGAAAGTAAAATAAAATATGATGTGAAACTGTGTTTTTACTTCTATGCAAAATGAATCATTCATTCTCTTTTTATCATTATTATTCTTATTATTCTTATTACTGAAGTTAGCATTCTTACCAACTATAGCCACAGCCATGATGGCCCATCTCATCACTTCCTGAGTCACAAGTGTCGCATCTGCCCTGAGTTTGGCTCAGAAGGTGTATTATAACCTTTTGTGTTGTAAATACAACGATAACTTAACAAGTGACCACCACCTGCAACCATCTAGAAGCTAGAATGAAGAAAACATGCATAGAGCACCTTTAAACTGTGTGCAACATGCTGGGAGCTCAAGGTCTTCACATTACCTGGGATGGGTATCGTTACTATGACGATTTACTGATTCTGCTTAATCCGGTTCTGTAATAATGAAGGAGAAGTAAACATTCATGGGGCAGTTTGTAATTCACCAGGACCATTTGAAATCTGATCAGAGCCATTGTAATGTGTAACTAAAAGCAGCGTCCCTGTCTAGTCGACCTGTATCACTGTGTGCAGGTGAGTGAGAGAGCAGGCCCTCCAATCCAAGCTTATTGATTCAGTGGTCTTTAATAATTTAGTACCACTCAAGGTATTAGTGTCCATCCATATTTACTAATTAACAGTCTGGAAATATTTACCTTTCCCAAGGTGTTAGCAGGATTACGCAGAAACCATTCGAGAGATTTATACAAAACCTTGTTAAAGGATGAAGTGAAGGCCAAAGAAAAATCCATTCAATTTATGTGCAGATCCAAATCAGGGATCAATCCAGGATTATTATTTTTTTCTTTCCACTTTCTTTGACATTGTGAGACATTTTGGTTGATTTCTCTGAGAATAATTCATCTTGATGAAAAAGAACAGTCAAGTTTAGGGGACTGATACTAATCAGTGTGTGCAATTGTTCAAGATCCAAATAATGGCGGAGGTACAGGGAGGTGTGAGTGCCCTTCTGTTTTGTAATACATTAGTTTTATTTGACTTGGGAAATTCTCTGCATGTTGACACAAACGCAAGCTGTGTCACGTAAAATGTTAAGATCCATAGTGATGTGTCATCACTTGTGGACCAACTCTAATTTGTTTTTGCTGTAAACTGTTCAGGCAGTTGGACGATGCATCACGCTCTGTGTTCAAGGAGAATGTGCGACTCAACGAAGCTCTGAAATATCACATAAAGGAGGCGCAGGACCTGCAGAAACTCACAGACTCACTGGGAAAGCAAAATGCCTCGCTGGCCCTGGACAAGGTTTGTATTTCAGGCATCAGACAGCTAACAGCGAAGCTACTATTAGGGGCCTACAGTCCTTGGACAGGGACCAGTCATGTCGGAGTCATTTTCAATCATTTCAGTTATGGAACACTTGTCAGATCTGTCCAGAATATATTTCAGGTGGTTTTTTCCCTTGTGTTGTTTACTTGTGCCGACCTTGTGTATTTTGCTTGTGGTCCCACTCCTATCCTCCCCCCTCAACCTCCCGACTACTACCCAGCCTCTCGGTGGTCAGTGGTTGTGGCCAGTTTCCACTGGCGTACGGGTTCAAATTCAGTGGCTTCTCCTTTGCAGGTTTCTGGCACTGATTCTTTTAAGACAAATAAATATTGGGCACATTAATCTCACCTCTAATGATGACAGTAAATCAAGGCAGTAAATCCACCTTGTTGAAGCTTTGGCCGCTCACTCAGCAGCACAGGCTAGTACAGCAAATCATTATCTGTTCTACGTCTTTACTGGCATGAAAATGAAAGGACTTCCCAAGGTGTCATCAGTCTCACTAACATGCTCTTGTCTCTTCTCACCAAGAAAACCTGCGAGTTGATGGTAAAGAAGAATGCAGCTCAGATGGCAGCCCAGAAAGATGAGCTATCTAAACTAAGGGCCAAGGTCATGTCCCTAGAGAAAGCTCTGGGCCCAAAGGGCAGGGAACTCCAGCAAGAGGAAAAGGAGGAGAAGATGCTGGTCAGAAACCAGGTCGAGCTGGAGAAGCTCCAGAAGGTGCTCTGCGTGCGAGAGAGAGAACTGGGGCACATCAAGCGGCTGGCGAGCACTATTGTGGAGCAGCGTACGGAGCTGGAGCAGTTCTTCCACGAGTCACTGGCTCAGGTGAAGCAGGAGATCACAGCCAGCAGGCTGCAGTACAAAAAGGAGGCTGTCAAGGCTTATCGCTGGAGGCTGAGAGAAGCCACAGCAGGAAAGCTAAAGTTCCCACCCATCCGCACCTTCCGTAAAAGCCCTCACAGTACCAACTCTGTCTATTCAGACATGGAGGCAGCCGCGACGTGGTGGGTCCCCCTTACCATCATTTCCACGACTTGTGCTTCTGTGTATGTCTTTGTGATATTTTTAATTCCTCATGTTTATTATAAGCAAGACACCTGCAGCACATTCAGAGGTCATCTCCCTTCAGCACTCTTCATACAGTTTATAAATGTAAATACATATGGGGGAATATTAATTTTGATTTCATCTTCCTGTTATTTTTAGGACACATCAACCAGGCAGCAAAGTTGAAATCTCAGACCTCACTTGGGAGCAGAGGGAACAAGTGCTCAGGCTCCTCTTTGCTAAAATGAATGGGCAGAGGGAAAGGTAATAAAACTCCTTAGTAATTGTTGGTTTGATTTAGAAAGGCTTGATGGCTGCTCGTTCATCACTCACTGTGTATTCATCCTAGGTAATAACGTTCAAATCAATTTATAATCCTTCTGCTCCTGCATCAATTAATTCTGAAGAACAAAGTGCAGCAGTTCAGGCTGAACTCGTGGTGACTCCTCCCTCTATTTAATGTGTTAAACAGCCATTTTCTCTGCAGAGAGAGGATACCATAAAACATCAGTTAGGTTTTTCGACCAATTTTCTTTTCCATCCAGCTGCTTAAAAAGAATGAAGAAAGAGTCTGGGCACAATAGTAAAAATAGGCCCAGCCGCAGAGTCGTGTGCTTGGAAACAAACATCTGGTCACGTCGATTTGCTTTGAGCCTACTGGCCCCTCTTCACGTTCACCAGCAGTTTATTTTGTTCTTTGAACACTTGTGGGCAGAGAGCAGCTGGTAACATGATTTTCAGAGGAGTGTGCAGGGGATCTGGATGTATGGGATCACAGCAGGCAAGAGGAGATATATATTCATGTTAACAGTGGTCTGGCACCTAGTCCAGCAGAATAACACAGAACATTTGGCAGCGCAAGAGCGTCAGTCAGCAGCATCCAAGTCCATGTGCCTTGTGCTGACCCTGACTAACCCCCTTTCCAAAACATGCTGCAGGCCTCAGTGAACACACACCAGAGTGCTAAAACATGGCTTTTCTCTATGAGAATGTGTATTTAACTGCAGCTCTGCATTTTTCTGATAGGAAAGTCAGCCAACATCTGGCTTTGTCTGCCTCCGCTGAGAAGAAGAGCCTCGTGGACAGCGATGCTGCTGGGTAAGACACTAAAGGAATGTGTGCAGTGATAAAAGTCGTACCTCATCCTTGCAATTACGAAGCCTGCACAGATTTCTTGGTCCCACGTTCCATGTTTAGCTGAAAAAGCATTGGCTGTGAGAACATTGGTGCCTACATGTGATTTATCAAGACGGCCGCGTTTTAGCGTCGCTTAATGATGACTGTCTTCCAGAATTAGAGAGGAGCTCTCCCCGGCAACCTTCATCACCCAGGCGCCTGAGTCCGCTCTACCCTCGAACCCTAACAGCCTGCCGAATATACACACCACATGACCTCCGTGTGGCCTCTACATTGCACATCACACTCTGGATTGTTTGCCTCTTGCTCTGTGCGCTTCCCACAAGAGTGTCATCATGTGTTTTTGTTTGTGTTCATTATAAATATCTTTCCATGCGTGTATATATGGTGTGAGTTGCCTCTTTGAATTCTGTTATAACATGTTTAAAAAAGAAAATATCACAAGTCGAAACCTAAGAAGGTTTACTCTTAAGAGTGTGGGTTATTGAAATAAAATACAGTGTATCCATGACAACCATGGCATTGTTGTATTTTAGGAAATGACATGGTTCCATTCAAACATCTATACTGATCGTTTTGCATTGTTAAAATCTTGGCCAGTGTGTTTTACATATACAGAATATCTATATATACACATCTAATATAAATTCTATCAATAGGGGGAGCATTTCGTGTTTATGAACTATTCACATTGAATAATAATAAATCTGATCTGTGTGTGGACGAAGGTTTATTAAACTGTTCCGGCACTTGGATGGAGTATTTAGCGTCCCATAGTTGGCATGGTAACCGCAGGACTTTTCAATGTGGCATCTTCAGCTTTCCATTGCGAAGTTACAGTTTTGATCTGTGTGTAGAAGTGGATGCCCTGCAGGGAGAGGGAAAAAAACATTTAAATTTACCGAGCATCCCTTTGGTGTTGTTGTTCGTGTTGCTGTATCAAAAACGTACCTGTTTTCCATAGAAATTCATGTCCCCTCTGAAGGATCCTCTTGAGCCAGTAAAGGAGAACATTGGCAGAGGAACAGGGATGGGAACATTGACTCCGACCTGCAAAAAACAAGTATTGTCCCTCTCATTTCCATAAGAGCAAGTTTGTAAAGCAATTCCCCAGGAGCCCAAATTGCTAGCATGAGTAAAATGTGGCTGATGAGAGATGTGGTACATCTATGCTGTTTAAAAAACAAGCTTACACGAGCACAATAAACATGGCTCAACCTGTGGCTTATATTTGCCGTTTTGAAAGCACAGCATGCTCTTATGATAGGGAAGAAAAACTAAATAAAACATTTTGTTATGAAGGCAGTGGAGGCATGGCTTCGTTGGTTAAGAGTGTTTGAAACAGCAGGAGTAAGTTTGGACGCACTGAGGCCTTTTGGCAAAGGTGCAGGGGGGAGAAAAAAAGAAAAAGTAGATGTTTGTTGCATCGAGGTTTGGAGAGGAGTACAGCACATGGCCTGCACAGCATTCCCCGACATGTGAACAGCAAACACACGGCATAACTAGGCTCCACAGGCAAACAAACAGGGAGAAAGGTTGGACGTATTTATGCCTAAATGTTAAACAGGACCCCGGAATCCCTTTTGAATTTAATTTAAGATTTCCCCTGCTCCAGTGCTACGTGGAAAATTGTTTCTATGTCCCCCTGTTTTCAGTGAACAGACAGATATTTGCTGTAGCTATTTGTAGTCATGTCTGTTGGGGAAGTGGAGGGAAGGGGGTTGCCGGACATGTGTATTTTAGGTAAGGGGCAAACATGGCTATACTTAACCTGGAGGTGGGTTTTTTTGTAATGATGTTTAAACAGAAATGTACTCTCGGCTGGAGATGCTGCATCGACATGACAGAGGGACGTGAATGTCTCCAAAACAGAGGAACACATTTGGAGGTTGCAGCCACTCACCTGGCCCACGTCCACCTCGTGAGTGTATTTACGTGCCGTGGCGCCGTTTGTGGTGAAGATGGCCGTGCCGTTACCATAGGGGTTCCCGTTGACTAAACCGATGGCGTCATCCAGAGTTTCTGCCTCGAGAACGACCAAGACAGGCCCGAAGATCTCCTCAGTGTAGCACTTCATCTCCGGCTGTAAGAGCACAAAGGTGAACATGATTGATTTATATATTTAAAATGGTACACTGATGTAAAAAGAGTTATGGGGGGGCACATGAAAAGAGTAAACCTACATACTGTGACATTGCCGATGATGGTGGGACCCACAAAATTGCCGTTCTCGTAACCCTTAACTTTGACGCTGCGGCCGTCCAGGAGGAGCTTCGCGCCCTCATCCACGCCACTCTGGACCAAACTGCAGACTCTGTCCTTGGCCTGGGGAGAGATCAGAGGCCCTACATCTGCACCGGGCTGGTCTCCTACAGCAGGGCCCCCGAAACAACCGGCTATAAGGTTACACGTCATGGCGATCGCACGATGTGAGCACATTAAGAGCGCAGACATTCGGATGCTTCTTTTGCCACAAACACACAAAAGCCAGGACGAGGGGCACCCTGAGGCACTCCCTCAGAGATGGATACTTAGGGGTTTCCTGTGTACTGCACAAATTAGAGTCCATATCATTGCAAACGGGGAGAATCATTCTCTATTTTGCTTCACGTCAGGATTTGATGCTGTGAATCACTATTTAGGTCTGGGCCGCAGATCTGACCACAAATTTGCAGCATGGCTGACTCAACAAGCCTCCGCTCCCAGCTAAGTCCAATGTGAAGTTACAACAAGGCAAAAGGCGAGAGGTGTGGTTAGGGCGGCTTGGGTGGCCCCGGTATGACTAAACCAAAGGCCCTCGGGGAGAAAAAGGGCTCAGTAGAAAGAGACGGGAGGTATAGAGGTGGGGTGACGGGGCGCGGTACCTGCATTCACGCGCAGAGCCCTGGCACGCTCCACCAGCTCCGGCAGCCAGCCCCGTGCTTCGCCCACCAGGATGGCTGTGGACAGAGCCATGCAGCGTTGTCCCGCTGCCCCGAACGCTGCGCCCACAAGCTGGTTCAGAGTGTTCTCCTTATTGGCATCAGGCATCACCACACCATGGTTCTTGGCGCCCTGCAGCACATGAGAAGTGGTTAGCCCTCGGCAGCTTGATCTCCACATTAGAGCAACTGGTTAGTCAAGCAGGAGAAGATAATATCAGGGAATTACAAACAAACGACCGACTAATGTTACATAGTAAACTTGTGGTGGAAAGGATGGATGGATACAAGTAAAAACAAAAAGGCAGAACGTTTATATTTCACAGATTGGATTTCTGCAGTGCTGCACACAGATGCTGCAGTTTCTCATTTGCACCTTCTCTCTTCAACAGCCACAGGTTCCAAGATACAGCAACAATCTGTTGGCCAAGGTCGCCACCTGCTGGACATCTGCAGCTGATACTCACCATGTTGGACTGGACCCTCTTTCCATTTTTAGAGCCCCTCTCGTAAATATACTCCCCAGCTTGATTTGAGCCGACAAAGCTGATCGCCCTGATGGCAGGATGGTCACAGATCAGATTCACAGCTGTGCCAGAAAGACAGTAAAAGACAAGTGTTCATTTAAATATGCATCAATTATAACAGCTACATTCATCCATAACAAATACTGTGTGGTACTGTGCTACATAGGAAATCATTCACCGAACTCATGGAATGAATAAGAGATTCCTGGTTGTTGTGAATTAAAAAAGCTGATAAGCAAAGATTCATCGATGCAAAAATGAACTTGCTCTTTCACAAAAATATTTTTGAAAAATATCTTCAAAAATTAAATTAAATAAAACCATGAGCTGTATTGATGAGTGGTAGCATTCAGTCATCTCCCTATTTGATTGCACACTACACAAAAAAACTGTTGTTAATTTCCAACATAGAGATTTCAGATGTTATGTTATCAGACATGTTGAATGTGTCCTTCTTAACCTGCACCTGCAATTATCACAGTTCCATCACATACAGTAACTTGTCTCTGCGCTGAAGATAACGTTCAGACACAGAACAGCAAGTTCAGACACAGAACAGCAAGTTCAGACGACCAAAGGTAACAGAGTCCAGCTCTCACCGGCGTGTTGGCCGTGGATCACGTTGAGCGTCCCGTCTGGAGCGCCAGCATCTTGCAGCATCTTGACGAGCAGCATGGCGCAGGTTGGCACTCGCTCCGAGGGCTTGAGCAGGTACGTGTTGCCACACACCAAGCCCATGGGGAACATCCACAGAGGGATCATGGCGGGGAAGTTGAAGGGGGCGATGCCTGCACACACCCCGAGGGGCAGGCGGTAGGTGTAGGTGTCCATGTCCTTTGTGATGGAGGGCAGGGTTTCCCCGAGCATCAGGGAGGTGATGCTGCAGGCGTGCTCCACAACCTCTGCAAAGGAAAAAACAAAACACAGTGTGCAACACACAAGTTAATTCGGTTCATTTTGTTTGTGTCATACGGCAGTAATATCAAAATCTAAAGAACGAATAAAAAAGTTAATATTTAAAACTGCTCACAAATGAGCTCTGTTTAAAGATCTTTTAATAAAAGGGAAAAATTGATTTTCAGAATAAAATGCAAATGTCTAAATAAGATTCCACAATGCAGGTATTGCACTGTAACGATATGGTGCTATGGTTCAAAGGACTCGTGAAGTAAACCACCCTTTGTTCAGAGCTGGTATAACTTATTAACCCCCTCTTCCAACCACAAACGAAAAGCCTACATAACAAGGAAATGTTTACCTAATTGTTGCCCTCTGTAAATGTATCTCTGTGCACGTGCGTGTGAGCAACTTAAACTTACGCAATCCTCTGAACACATCCCCCTCTGCATCTGCAAGAGTCTTTCCCTGCTCCACCGTGATGGCCTTGGCAAGTTCTTTCTGGAATCACAAGAACATTTCTGTACTTTATATTCAACACCAGGTTAAATATAAGCTAAAGATTTGTATTTTAAACAGTAAATGCTGAAAATGAAACTGTAGTTTCCATCAGTGCACCTTGCACTCTCTGACCCCTTTGACTTACAATGTTGTCCTTGATAAGCTGCTGATAGCGGAGAAAGACCTGCTGCCGAGCCAAGATGGAGGTCTCAGACCACGAGTGGAATGCTCTTGAGCACGAGTCCACGGCAGCCACCATCTCCTCCTGAGTGGCTTTGGGTACGCGGGCGATCACCTCGTTGGTAGCCTGCAGAGGAGTGATTTAAAAAGCGTCAATTTACAACTTTAAAACATTAATTAGTTTGTATTATCAGGGATATTTTGAGTCCAGCTGAAGTTACTGAGGCCAGTTGAATCCTGGCAGATGTTTAACGGAGTTATGTGCAGTTTCATAAATGTGCAGGTCGAAGGTCATCAGAGACAAATAATGGATTTCCATGTTGACTCCTTAACAACACATTTATAAATGCTAGTTTATGAATTATTGCTGGGGATTAAATAACGCCACCTCACTGATCGGCAATGACAGAAATATTTATTTGTCATTTAAT